CCCTTGTGGATGTCATTGAAGAACTTCGAGGCGTCCTTTCCGGCCCAGGCGAGGATGGTCGTGGGGCCGCCGGGATGACGATCCATGAACTCCGAGAGGTCATAGACCTTTCAAGCTTGAGGGTCAAGGGTAAGGGCCTACGGTTTGGGGTCTAGGATCTGTTTGTTGTCGAGTTAAGGATTCATAACTTGCCTTTCCTCTTCGCTGCCTTTCTTGGTGGTAAAAGTTTGGGCTTTGGGTGCTAGTGGCTCAGCTGTTGCATCCCCACCTCCCACATGCATGCATGCTACGGGTTACATATTATACTGCAGCAGCATGAAGCTGGAAAAACTAAATCCTCAAACCCGACTACCCGAAAACCCTGACCATTAGTAGATTGCCCTTACCAGACGCTCTATCCCCACACTCAACTCTCCCCCTTTACAAAACACCCGAGGGATCCACCAGAGTGCCGCCTTGCCGTTCAGAGCCACCCAGCAGTTCTCGGGCGTGCAGTGGCGGTTCACCTGGCTTTAGGGGTTAGGGAGTGGGCTTAAGGGATTACCTTGAACTACCATAACCTACTTTTTTGTAGGGCCCTTATTATGAACCCGAATGTAGAATGTATAGGAACCCTACAAAAAAGTAGGTTTTGGTAGTTTAGATGAGGTTTATGGACCACGGCATTAGTGCAGGGCTTAGGGTGTTGGGTTTAGGCAGTAGGGCCTGGGGTCTCTAGGGCTTAATTAGACATTCAGGTTTGGAGCTCGGGCTGTGTGGGATGAGTGCAAGGCATATATTTTTGTTACGACCATTCAACGTGAACAGCCGCACATCTAACCAGGCCACCATGTCTCAATGTACAGCAAGCATGAACCCTAAACTTCACCATCCCCCAAGCATCCTAAACTCCTAAACTTTACCTGAACTACGAAAACCTACAGCCCCCGAAGCCCTGTGACATCGTTTAGGGTTTTAAAAAAAATCAAAAACACGCACACACACACACACAAACAAAAAACATGTAAAACCTGTAGAAAAAACCAGCAAGTTCCAACCTCGGAGAGCGGGATGTTCTTCGAGATGGCAGAGGTGCCGGGCTCGTGAATCACTTTCTGGTGGAACTCAGGGACCTAAGGTCTTTCGCTGTCTGTTCTTGTGTGTCCTTTAGACCTTACCCTTAAAGGAACCCTATAAACGAACCCCTTTAAAGGAACCCCCCCTGGTTATTGGATCATACTAAAATAAGATTGGGACTATCAAGGGGATATTGCTCCGAGCCAAATGGGGGTTTCCGAAAATCGGGGACCCTAATATAGTACCCCAAATAGTAGGATCCTTATTATAAGGACCCCAACATAAGGTACCCCATTATTTTCGGCAACTCCCAAATGCCAAGCTTGGAGGAGCTCTTGGGTTCTTCCCTTTCATGGACATCCATTTGCTTCGGGCTCATGGTTGCTGTTTGCCTGGGTTTAGAATTCAGGGTTTAGGGTTTAGGGTTTAGGGTCTAGGGTTTAGGGTTCAGGGTTTTGGGTTTAGGATTTAGGGTTTAGGGTTTAGGGTTATGAGTGTTCTTCTTGTTCTTGCCGGGGTTGCTTCTTTTGTCACTGCTGCTGCTGCTGCTGCTGCTGCTGCTGCTGCGGTCGTGGTGGCGGTGACAGTGCCATCAGATGCACCGCCTACTACTGCGACTGTTCTTACCGTAATTTGGGGGGCCTTCATAATTAGAATAGGGTTTTGGATTTTATCTACTACAACTCTAATAAGGAACCCCCCAAAAAAAAATAGTACAGGTAAGTCTTTAGGCCCCTATATTACTCATTATTCTAACCCTAAAACCTAAACCCTAAACCCTAAAACCTGAACCCTGAACCCTGAACCCTAAACCCTAAACCCTCAACCCTACACCCTGAACCCAGAACCCAGAACCCTAAACCCTAAACCCTAAACCCTAAACCCTAAACCCTGAACCCTAAACCCTAGATTAGTCGGGGAAAAGCCCGCCGAAAGAGCTGCCGCGGGACGCTCGCCGGGTGCTCGTCGCTGGTGTACTGGGCGGCCATGACCGAGGGCGGAGATGACGGCGGGCAGAAAGAAACAAAAGCAGGGCGCTTCGAGAAGTCAGTGGCTGCATGAGGGGTTGAGGGTTGAGGGTTTAGGGTTTGGGGTTGAGGGTTTAGGGTGGAGGGTTTAGGGTTTAGGCTTTTTGGGGTACAGGCACAGGGTTTCGCGCTTCTGCTTTTTTGTTTCTCGCTTCTGGGGTTTACGGGGCAAGCCTTAAGTTTTTTCGGGGACTTGCGTGCAGAGGCTTAGGTTTGGTGGAGATGAAGGCTCGTAGCCGCAAGTGGCTAGTCTAGGGGCCTTTAGAATAGGGTTTTGGTGCCCATTCTACCATAATTATAATACGGAACCCCCAAAAATAATATAGGTAACTAGTTAGGCCCCTACATTAAGGGTTTGTGGTCGAAGTTCGGGATTCCCGGTCAAGCTCCAGGGAGGAGTCAAGCAGGACCCTGCGCATCCGGGTCCACAAATGCAGGGGTCTTGCAAAATTAGAATAGGTTTCGGGGGTTCTTTATTCCGTAAAAGGCCCCTATATCAAGACCTTTCAGTCTCATGTTGAAAGGGTTTCAAGCGGTTCAGGCAAGACGAAGCCCGAACAGGCGAATGTCTCGGTGGGTGCGGGGGTGTGGATGAACATGGGACTGTAGTGGGCAGTGTTCATGGCTTCCCCGGCTTCAAGACGAGAACGATTCCGCATCTCTTGCTTTTAATGACGAAGATCCCCATTTCAAGGATCCCCGACAAAGTACCCCAATTTGACAGAAACCCCTATGCCCCCCCTAAACCCTACCACTCTCACACGGCGTGCGGTTTTGCTAACTGCACGACCAGCGTACCCCCCAAAATTCGATTGGCTCTCCGCGTGCCGGTACAAGCAAGTTTGGGCCCTCCGATGCAGACTCAGTGGGCGGAAGCTTATTCAAAATGGGGGTTTCCGAAAATAGGGGACCCTAATATAGTACCCTAAATAATAGGATCCTTATTATAAGGACCCCCAAATTAAGGTACCCCTATTTTCGGAAACTCCCAAATAGTATGGGGTTTCGGGTTGTTTAGGGTTTAGGGGCTTTGGGTTTCGGGTGACTAGTATAGGGCCTTCATCATTTGAATAGGACTCCTCTGAGGCTTCCTTCTTGGGGTTCTTTAAGGCCTGGGAGTTGAAGGGTTCTTATAAGAACAGTAGGGCTTTACGGGTTTAGGGTTTAGGGTTTTGGGGTACTACGGTATACGTATGATTAGGAGGCCTCAGGAAGACTTTTGAACTTCATTTTGGGCGCCTAGAGTAAGGCTTGGGCTTTAGGATGTAAGCTTTATGGTTTGGGGCGGTGTTCAGGGTCTAGGCCTCAGGGCTTTGTATAGCCTACATGGATTTACGGTCTCGGGCTTGGGTCATGAGGGTTGGGTGGGGCCCAACACAAGGGCCGAACATTGATAGCAATGTGATACGAGGTAAGCACACTAAACCTCACGAGGTCCCACATAGTACTCTGTCGGCTAGACAGGCACTTGATATTGACGTGGGATGGGTCGGTACTGGAAAATGGGGAACATAGGGTTCAAAAGCCTGCGAAGCTCATCTAGAGTAAAAACGTCATGCGGGGCTAGTCGGTGTGGCAAGCGACATACTATCCTCCGGTCTTTTCGGGCTCAGCCTGCCAGTTTTGGTAGCTCCTGTATCTTAGACTTTACTTGTAGCCCCAGACCCTGCAAAATAGGAGTTTGTGACACCTGAAGTACCGGGTATAGCCCCTAACAAGCAGTAGTTTTTGGATCCCCAAATACTTCTTGGCGGGAATGGAAGCTGAAGGAGATAGGGAAAGAGCACGCGCCGCATCGAAAATTCTGTACACAGGCCGCTGTGTGGGCAACTCCCCAACTGGCTGGGATGGAGAGGGAGTTGCAGAGCTGACGTCATGGACCTTGTAGGACTCTGCCTAGGCTCTCATGCCCTCAGGTTGTAGGGCTTAAAGTTGAGTTTTGGAAGGATCGGGGTTTAGGGTTTAGGGTGCAAGAGTTCGAGCCCGTGATCGCAATCCATTTAGAACCGCCCACATTTCCCAGAATTCACTCAACTTCTTTAGAACATCGAAGCGTCGACGAAAGAGAATGTTCAGGATATTGGGTTTAAGGTTTGTAGGGGATCCGAATGTTCAGGGAAAAGGATTGGCAGTTTCCGGCGTTTAGGGTTTAGGGTTTAGGGTTTCCTACACGGCCCATGGTTTCAGCAATACACACAGATCTACGTCTGAAGCGCATTGGATTCAGCCCCCTGGTCTCGCCATGCCATGGAGCGACACGAGAGCGACGTCACCAAGACGAGGGACTTGGGTTTTAGGATTTGGGGTTTGGGGGTTTCGCTGAACGACCTTGTCCGTCGTTCTCCGGATTTGGTCGAGTTTGATCTAGTCGAAATATCTGCGCCATAGCGCGCCATTCACAGTGAACCTTCGGCCATGAACTCAGCTCTGACTTCGTCCTACATTTTTTTGTTTTCTTGGAGCACCTTTTTCGACCACCGCAACATCCGGTTCAGCAGCCAAGACCTAGACTAGATCTTACATGGCTTAGTTCTTCGGGTTTAGGGCCCTAAACCCTAAACCCTAAACCCTAAAGGCTTTGCAGATCCAGAATTTTGAGACATCCCCCAATCTTCTCGAAGTCGCTCAGGCACTGCTAGGAAGATGTACCCTCCGTCTCCTTACTTTCGCAGGCCGGTTCGCCTTGGGAAACAAAATATCTAAAGGAGCCTAACTTCCTTGAATGGGCTTACCCTAACCCCCCAGGTACCTACTATATGGGGCCCTAGGGGCTCTAGTACCCTATATAGTGGGTATCTGGGGCGCTGGGGGTCTGGGGGTTACATAGGAGGATATGAGGACTTCCTGCGAGCGAGGATCGGGAGGAGTCTGCTATTTACAGGCGGTTTCGGGGCTCGCACGCCACTAGCAGTCACGGCCGCATGAGGAGCAGAGCAGTAAAGGCACCTCGAACACTAAATCCGAAAGTCTACACATGTCTACACCTTCTGATAATCCCCAAAGCATGCCCATGACACAGACACTATTCTAGCGCCAAGAAGCGCCCGTCATAGCCTCATTCCCCTCCTGGCTAGTCATCAGGCGTGTCACGTGTTTCACCATCGTTGCGACAAGAATACGTACGAAGCAGATGCCAGCGCTAACAAACGCAAAACAGATGCAGCCTAATCCTGCTGGCTTCGACAGCTCAAAGCTACCGTGCCCTTCCCACATGCTGCAGTTTGGGAGAGCCCCAACTCACCTCAATGTCGCAAGCCAGGATGTGCCGTCATGGACATGGATATCTGTGAAGACCATGCTCCCACCAAATGACGGGAACACTCCCGAGCGTTGCACCACCACCATCACCCTAGCGTCACCAGAAAGGTCAACATCTGCTTCTTCTTCAGTACCTTCTACATCACCGACATGCCGTGACGCAGTGTCAATCCTATGGTCGTCGAAGGCCCTGAAGCCCTCAACTGTAAGCCCTGATACTTAAGCCCTACCTTGAACTACCAGAACCTACTTTTTGTAGGTCCTTATTAGGAACCCGAATATGGAATTCATAGAACCCTACAGAAGATAAAGTAGGTTTTGGTAGTTTAAGGTACAAATAGCTGATGAAGCCCCCTCAAAACCATACAACCCGCAAAGCCCCTACCTGGCTATATAAGGGGTATATAAGGACTCTACAGAGGGTTTAGGGTCTAGGGTTTAGGGTTTAGAGTCTATCATGCCCTAAACCCTAGACCCTAAACCCTAAACCGTCCCTCCTAAAGTCCAAAAACGAACAAACCAAGGAGGGCTTGGCCTCCTAGGCCTCCTCCGGGAACTCCCCCGTGGCTGCGCCTTTCAGCGCCGCCTCAACGCGGAGCTTTGGGAAGTGAGGCTTCCGGTGGTTTCTGCGGCTTCGGAGGGTTTCCCCTGAGTTTTAGGGTTTAGGGTTTAGGGTTTAGGGTTCATTCAGAGTTTTAGAGTTTAGGGTTTAGGGTTTAGGGTCTAGGGAGGGTTTATTCAGAGTTTAAGAGGGATTACGGATTGCATAACATTCAGCTTCTAGTCGGTCGTAGGTTTTGGAAGGACGTCGTGGGGTTTTATCATCTGCTGTAGGTCCGAAAAGCTTCAGAAGGGCCACATGAACTTAAGCATTATCGGCGTTATAAGGACTTAGTCATACGGTTCTGTACGGATCTCTCCGCCCATATACCAAACCCGCCCCCTCTCCCATTTTGTGTAAACCTCAAAAACCCGTACCAAAACCCTGAGATCCGATACCCCCAGCCAGACCCTAAACCCCCCAACCCTGAACCCTGAACCCAAAAAACCCTAAACCCTAAACCCTATAAAACCCTATAAGCCCCGAACCCCCAGAAAAGGCTCCAACCTGCACCTCTTGAGCAGACGGCTCGTTGTAGCCCGCCTGATCACGGCCGCGAGATTCGAGCCGATTTCATCGGGCTCCCGATTCGGTGGAATATCATTTAGGGCTTAGGGTTTAGGGTTTAGGGGTTTGGGGTTTGGGGGGTAGGGTTTAGGGCTCGGGCTTCGGTGGAGTTCTCCTTTAGAGGGTTTGAGGGCTGTTTTGGTGGGGTCTAATGAATCATATAAGGGGTTTAGGGTTTAGGAGTTAGGGCTTAAGGATTATCATCTGGGGTTTGGGAGTTTTTTTTGGTAGCGAAGGGGCTTTCGGAATAGGCGCAAGCATCTGCCAACCCCTACACCGCCTTAAAGCCCCAAACCCCACACCTTGAACCCC